AAAAAAAAAAGGGAAAAGCGGGTAAGAACTAAAAGAGGGGGAAAGGGGCAGGGAGAGGAGCGGGCGGGCGCTGCCGCCCACGCGGCGGTACCGGTGGCACCGGTGGTACTGGTGGTACTGGTGGTACCGGTGTCACGCAGCGCCCACGCGCGTCCCCTCGGCCACGGCTGCGGCCCCGCCCGGTGCCGGTGTCGGTGTCCCGGTGTCCTATTCCCGGTGCCCGGTATCCCGGTGCCTGGTGCCGGTGTCCCTGTGCCCAGTGCGCCCGTTCCCAGCGCCAGTACCCACACCAAGGTCCCAGAGGCTCGGTGCCCCCTTTCCCGATATCCCCGTTCCCGGTGCCCGCAGTCCCGGTATCCCGGTTCCCGGTGTCGGTGCCCTGCTTCCCACTATCCCCAGCCCCAGTTCCCCGTTTCCCGGTCCCCCCAGCCCCGGTGCCCCGGTCCCCGGTGCGGGTATCCCGATTCCCGGTACGCCCAATCTCAGTATCCCGGTGCCTGAAGCCTCGATATCCCAGCCCCGGTACCCCTATTCCCGATTTCTCCAGCCCCGGCACCCCTATTCCCGGTTTTCACAGCCCCAGTGCCCCGTTTCCCAGTACCCTCAGCCCCGGTACCCCTGCTCCCAGTTTCCCCAGCCCTGGTACCCCTGTCCCGGTTTCCCCAGCCCCGGTATCCCTGTTCCCGATTTCCTCAGCCCCGGTACTCCGTTTCCCAGTCCTCCCAGCCCCGGTACCCCTATTCCCGGTTTCCCCAGCCCCAGTACCCCTGTTCCCAGTTTCCTCAGCCCCATTATCCCTGTTCCCGGTGCGCCCAACCCCATTATCCCTGTTCCCAGTTTTCCCAGCCCCATTATCCCCGTTCCCAGTTTCCCCAGACCCGTTATTCCCGGTGCCCCCAGCCCCATTATCCCTTTTCCCAGTCCCCCCATCCCCGTTATCCCTGTTCCCGGTGTCCCGGCCCCGATACCCCTATTCCCGGTTCCCCCATCCCCGTTATCCCCGTTCCCGGTGTTCCGGCCCCGGTCCCCCTGTTCCCAGTTTCCCCAGCCCCACTCCCCCTATTCCCGGTCCCCCCATCCCCGTTATCCCCGTTCCCGGTGTCCCCATCCCCACTCCCCCTATTCCCGGTCCCCCCATCCCCGTTATCCCCGTTCCCGGTGTCCCGGCCCCGCTCTCCCGTCACCCGCCGAGTGCGGCGGGCGCGGTGGCGCTCGCAGCGCGGTCTCTGTGGCGCAATCGGTTAGCGCGTTCGGCTGTTAACCGAAAGGTTGGTGGTTCGAGCCCACCCAGGGACGGTGCCACCCTTTTACCTCTTTATTTTTTCCCCCTCTCTTCTTTTCCCGGGATGGACTGAGCCGGACCGGGAGAAGGCGCCAGGGGCAGGATGCGGCCCCGGTGCTGCCCGTGGGTTCCCGGCTCCCTCCGAGGCGCTGGATGAGAGTAAAGCAGCCCCTGCTGTGCACAAAACCGGCCCCTCTGCACCTCAGTGTCCCGTAACATGCAGGGACATTAAATCGGAGCAAAGCCTGTTTCCATCCAGATTTTCCATGTTTCGCCTTAAAAATAAGCTGAAGTGGCTCAAAAATCTGCGTTTGCTGAGCTCCCCCCCCTTAAAAACTCTCGTAAAATCTATTTATGTTCCCTGCTTGCCCTGGTTTTATTTTCATAACAGAAATAACGATGTTTCTGGTTTAATTCAGGGCACAAAGCCATGCTGGGAAGATCCCTGTTATTCCCATCTGGCTCCGCTGCTCCGTCTCTCCCCAGTGCCTGGGATGTTCCCACCAGGCAGAATGTGGGCTCTGACTTCTGCCAGAAACATTTTACAGCGGAAAACATTTTAAAAATACACTTTAAAATGCACTTTAAAACAGCCACAGGCCGGGCTGTGCTTCCAGGACTTGGTCCCGGGATGGATGAACAGCCCCAGCCCGGGACAGAGGTTTCCATTGGAACCGGGGCTGCTTCCAAACACATGGATCTCTTTCCCTTTGGCACAGCTTCACTCCCCAAAATGAAACATTTAATCCTGTTTCCTCCAGGACAGAGCCGGTGGGTGAGGAAGGGAATCCAACGCTCTGCAGAGCGAATTCCCCCCGGAATAAAAAACACCCTCCCAGCCTCGTGTCCTTCCCCTCCCCGGGGTGATCCCTGACTCCACAGAGAGACTTTCCAGAGAGACTCGGTGGTGCCGGCACTTTCCAAAGAGGTGTTTTCCCTCTGGGCAGCCCCGCTGGCCCTGCCCCAGAGGAAGAGTTTAGGGTTTGTCCCTGGATCCCAGACGGTGGGGGTGCGAGGCCTGAAATCCAGCCGATATCCCGATGTATCCAGCTGTGCCATGTTCTGACGGTGCCACGTCCCTACCGGCTTATCCAGCTGTGCCATGGCCCTGTGAACCCGGAGCTGTGCCCCCCTGCTCCAGCTGTGCCCCCCTGGATCCAGCTGTGCCATGCCCAGCTGTGTCCCCCCTGCTCCAGCTGTGCCACCATGGATCCAGCTGTGCCACCATGGATCCAGCTGTGCCCCCCTGCTCCAGCTGTGCCCCCCTGGATCCAGCTGTGCCATGCCCAGCTGTGCCCTCCTGCTCCAGCTGTGCCCCCATGGATCCAGCTGTGCCCCCATGGATCCAGCTGTGCCCCCCTGCTCCAGCTGTTCCCCCATCGCTCCAGCTGTTCCCCCATTGCTCCAGCTGTTCCCCCATCCAGCTGTTCCCCCATCCAGCTGTTCCCCCAATCCAGCTGTTCCCCCATCCAGCTGTTCCCCCTGATCCAGCTGTTCCCCCTGATCCAGCTGTTCCCGAT